TTTGTTATTTATAGAGTACGAGTGATCTTGTAGTACAAGTACAACAAAAATGTATTTACGTGCACAAAGCTCTTTTAACGATACGTTGTCAATATTTTCGAACGATGTTTCAACAAAATTTAACCTTAATTAAGAATAATCAAAGGTAGGTTTATCGTTTTGACAAGTATTCAGATTTCTCTTTTTTCTGTTCCAACTGTTCGTTGCAGTATTATAGAAGAGCAAACATTTTCTTACGACGTATACAAAGCATTTTTGAAATATTTTTACACTGATGAGATCGACTTACCTCCGGGAAATATACCAGGTTTGTATTACATATATTACGTTTATTCTTTTCCTTATAATGTGTCGTTATTTTATTCTTTTTTCCTTATGGATAAGAATTTTTGAAATTGGCGGATACTTATTCCGAAAACCAGTTGAAAAAACACTGCGTGCAAATGATAAAGGGAGAAATTACAATTGAAAATGTGGCTCTCTTATACAGCATGTCTATGGAGTATAATGCTAAGGTAAATAACATTTTGTGTTTTGTATACTTACAAAACGTGTTCTAAATTTTCAATGTAATTCTAGGAATCGGAGGAGTATTGTTTCAAATTCATGCTAAATCACATGACTGCTGTAACGCAAACAGCGAATTTTGCTAAATTAGATGAAAACACGATAAAATCTTTTATAGTTAAAGCTACACAAGTTGGTGCTTCTAAAATTGTAGTTTATGATATTTGATGTATCACATCAGTGTATAACGTGTATACTGTGCAAAATTTGATCGTTTTTGTACTAGAAAAATTACGTTATATCCAACATAGGTTACTTGTAATAAGATTTTATTCGATTAAATCGCCCATCATAATGTATTATATGTACATAGAATAATCTGAAATAAAGTTTGTTTATTTATGTCAATCTACTCGCCCAATGAATCTTCTTATTAATAAATCGTACAATGAACGAAGGGTAGAGAAACGTGTGAAAATTTTATTAGTAAAGTATTTCCAAGCGATGCATACCTTGATAGTTAAGACACATTATCGGTTTCTTGATAAATGGAATATATGATCAATAAAGACTTACTAGACTATCGTTCGCACATTATTTTTATTACGATATTCTCAGTATATACAAGCAGTAAATTTTTGTTATTCGTATAATATGTACGTAACTATTGAATAATAACAATAATGATAATAATGGCAACGATGATGATGATGACGATGACAATGACGACGACAACGATGGTGATGATGGCAATGATGATAATGATAATGATGATCGTGACAATGACGATATATACGCGGCGATGATGATGATGATGATGATGATGATGATGATGATGATGGTGATAATAATAATAACAACGACAATTAAAGACTAATGAACAATAATCAATAATCGATAATGGTATTCAATAAATAATTTATACCTATATAAGAAATAATCAATAATTAATAGCGGTATTCAATGAATAATCATTACGCTTTATATTTATATATTTATACGTATAGATAATACTAGGTAGTCGATTTGCCGTATGGTATGGTTGTTAAGTGTTTTTAATTTGCACTCTACCTTTGCGTCCGCGGTGTTCGGTGCATTCTTCGACTTGACATCGATATTATATGACACGTGGCCGTACGTGCGTTTACGAGACAGTATCGAAGATATCTCAGTTACCGATTTGCTACCGATTTCATCGAATGAAATTTCTTTTTTTTTTTTGACAGGTCTAATCGAAATTTATGAAGTTATCGTTTCACTCGATAGTGGGGGATTTCGTCGATGAAATCGTGAAAGAAAACAGATGAAGTTCGGCGGGGGAAACGTCGCGTCGAGAGAATGCATTGAACAAATGCAGCCCCTTGGTTGGCCGATTGCCGATCAACGATCGCTGTCCGATACGACGATTAACGAGAGAACACGCAACTGGAAAAACGTCGTATCGAAATTCGACCGGTTATCCCGGCTATTATAATTAATACTTAGTTTTTTTGCTTTTCTTTGTTTTCTTTTTCTTTGGTGTGTGTGTGTGTGGTGTGTGTGTGCGCGCGCGCGTGTGCGTGCGTGTGTGTGTGTGTGTATGCGCGCGCGCGTGAGTGTCATGTGTAATTTTAATTAGAGCGTATTTAGGCCTGCGGGCTACTTTTTTTCAGCGACTCGCTGTGAATCCCATTTCACATGACAGAAGTATAAGATTTCTTTCGACTCACGATGAAGGAAGAAAGGTAAAACAAGAATCTCTCCGCTAAAATAGTCTCTCCGTTGTTTCTCTCGGTAGACAATCGTCGGTCCTCCCCCCCGTTCCCCTGTTTGATTTAGTAGTAGCGAGCAGTAATCGGTTTAATTCGTTTCTCCTCTACTTATCGTTTGCAACGTGTACGATGTTCCTTCTCTGTATTTGACTCCCGCCTCTAACAACAAGTAATCTCTTATCCCGTCACGAATTATATATCTTCCCCCCCTCCCTCCCTGTTTCTTTAACGACATACATATATACACGTACTCGGCGGTGTGTGATATTTACACGAGTTTATTGTACGCTGAGAACCATTTCTTCGCGAGAGAAACTTAATACGATCGGGTCGTCGAGTTCGGAATCGTTGGAGGACCGGCGTTCGCCGTGCGCGATTATTTTACATTAAATTACATATATAGAGTCAGAGTTGGGTGTACGAAAACTCGGGTCCCTGATCGATACAGTTTCGAGAGTTTTCTTCACGCGGTTTTATTTTTCTCTCTCTTTCTTGTTTTGTTTCTTCTTCTTTACGATTCAACGTATAATGAGAAAAAGTATACATATATATATACATATATATATTATATATATACATATACTATATATATACTATATATATACTATATATACATATATATATACTTTTTCTATATATACATATATATACTATATATACATATATATACTTTTTCTATATATATACATATATATGTACTATGTATACTATATATACTATATATACATATATATACTATATATACTATATATACATATATATATACTATATATACTATATATACATATATATACTATATATACTATATATACA